AAAAAACAAGTGGTTTGATGGGTCGAAAATGAATTTGCAAGTCAGGAGAAAGAGAGAGAGAGAGAGAGAGAGATGAAGGGTAAAATTGATAACTTAATTTTTTAATTTAGAAAAAAAAATATTTATTTCATAATATGAGCATGCAATTACTGCACTGTTACAATAAATAAATTCTGTTAGATTTACAGTTTGTTCACAAGTTGAAGGGGATTAAATGCAATCCGTAAAAATATAGGGGTTAAAGTGAGACTGACAATAATGGTAATGGTGGTAAAGACATAATGGTGGTGGCGACGATGGTGGTGATGATAATGGTAATGGTGGCAGTGACACATTGGTAGTGTTGGTGGTGGTGGTGATGGTGGATATTGAAAAGTTAAGAATGTTAAATGCATTGAAGGTATATTTGTCTATTATGTAAAATTGATAAAATATTTACTGACTAAACATTTTCAGTATTAAATGATAAATATGTGGCTTGCTACTTAAAATTTTAACTTATTTTTAAGAAGTGTTTAATATATTAATTTGTATGAGTTTTAGGTTATCAAACGAGTTTAATTCATTAAGTATCTAAAGTATTCAATTTTAAGCATTAAGTAATGTTATCAGACAGCCCTTTCGTTCAAGTTTTTTTTTTACCCTAAAAAAATGTAATATCTCAATAATGACAATTTGACATTAAAGATTCATTATAAATAAAATAAGAAATATCTAAGAGATCGGAGAGATATTTAAATAAATAATATATTAGATACTTGAAGAGAGGTAGAATATATAAATAACTAAGTTTGACAATAATTAAAATAAAAATATATAATTTATTATACATATAATTTAATTTTTTATGAAAATTTTTTTATTTAAATTTATTCACGTGCATATTACTAGTTCCACAAAAAAGAGGAACATATATTGGTACAATTTTTGCCCATCTTAACATTAGGTTCAAATAAGATATAAAAAAAAAACATGAATTTTACTCTATACCGTTTCTCAAACCTAGCGCTTTTTATATAAAAATATAGTACAATCAATTTTAACATTTCATGATCAATGTCACATAATTATAATTTTACTTTTAAAAAGTATAACTTCACTCTCCATCATAGTAATTTCTAGCTTGATATCGAAAAGATTTTTGGGTACGATATTCTTTTTCTTTATTTTAAGTGGCCGTTTGTTTTGAGTATTAGAGTGATATAAGGAGATGGTAATATGAAAATAATACGTGGGATCCATCTTATACATTGTTTATTTGGTATTTTATAGTCAGTACTATTTTTCGGATCGTAATATCGACCCGCTATGAACAATAGCCATAATGCGTTGTAAAAGGTCTAAATGAATTCCACATAGGGGGTGGTATTATATTCTTGGTATAAGTATTACAAACTAAAAAGACCGAAATGCTCTCCGGTACAATTCCCATATAAAAGCCTAGCCGCAATTTTTGACTTTTTAAAAGTTAAAATTGTCTTTTACATTGATTAGCAGCAATTGTTGACTTTTTTAAGTAGGTATTACACAAATAATATTTGTGATAAACAAACAAGGAGAAGGAAGAGATTATAGTTTAACACCGGGTATAATATACTATTGAATTGGAGTGGAATGAATATAAAATCTTATACCACTTAAATCTTATACTTGAAACAAACTAGCCCCGAGGGACTTGACTACCGTATTGAAAAAAAAAATTACTATTGTACCTCCAAATTTTATTACTTGAATAGGAGTTTTATAATTTTTGTGGGTTATTTTATAACAAAAACAAATTATCACTTTTTTGTGAGTGATTTACCATTTTTGTTGGTATTTTTACCATTGTTATAGTAATTATTTTCATTATTTTTCTTTGATAAAAATATTATCACTTTTCTTGGTGTTTTATCACTATTTTGATAATTATTTTTATAACTTTTATTTGGTATCTAATGATAAAAACACACACAATAATAATAAAAATAAGCACAAAAACGACAAATATTAATATGGTACCATTTTTTTTTTTTTGGATCAACTCCTAAGTCAAATAAGACTATGCTCACACACCCAAACGCAAACACATAAATGACAAATGACAAAGATGGACAGTTGTCTCTCACTAAAGTATTACTGTAAGATGGAACAAGTGACAAGAAAATCGACAAATTCTTTTGAAAAACGAGGGACAATCTCTATCACCTTTTGCAAAAGTGAGCAAGATGTTGAATTAAAGAGGCCAAAGAAAAGGAAGTGCTCATGCTTTTAAGGCTTGTATTAAAGATGCTTTTTTCATATACTTTTCTAAAGTAGAATGAAAATGTATTAAGTTGTTGAGAGGACGCAAGTATAATTTTAACGCAAGTATTATTGTTCCCTCGGATAAATGAAAAATGCAACAAACGAAAAAAAAAAAAGAAAGATATAGTACTGAAAAATAATTACATTCATATTTTCAGTATTAGATGTGAATCCTTTGATAAAAAAATATGTTTGGCCTGCACACACGAAAATGCAAAGCATTTTAATTTCTATTATTTTGGTTCAATTGGAAACAACAATTTAAGATAACTAACAAAGTGTTCATATGCGTCTCATGTGATCACATTTGGGATGCTTTGGTCTTTCACTTACTTGCATGTGACTATCTCCATTAATCAATTTAAACTGTAATTTTTGATTATACCAAAATGATACAAATTAAAAATTTAAGAGATTAAATTGATACAATTAAAAGGTCGTGGACCAAATTGACACAAACTACATAATTTGTGAAACAAAAATATATGTTGCCCAAATTCCTAATACTATTCCCTCGACTAACTGAATTGATTTGATATGACATTGTCTCAAAATAGAACATCTGCTATGTTTTGCATGGGAGGGAAACGTTCATGTTTCCTTAATTTTTGAAGCAAAATAAAATAGAATCACATAGTTTGAGGGAGAGTGAAATAACTTTCCATTTAATTTGTAAAGGATATTTGAAATACCAATTCTATTCCTAAAAAATAAGGAAATGAAAAAGTCAAACAAAAAAATTACGTCTGTTCAGCCCAACAATAATAGACCGCACACCTCCACCTCCACCCAACACCAACATGAATTAAAAGGAGATATTTATGGAAATTAAAACTTGAAAGCGTGAATGACAAACTACTCAAAGTTGAAGAGAATATTTTGTAATTAACCCTCTAATCAAATCAACGTGAATTTTTAGCAAAAAATTTAGAAAATTAAATCTTAGAATTTGATTATCAATCCTTTAATGTCAAGAATAACCCCTAAATCGGTACAATTAGGTATATTATCAAATGCTCTCTCTTTTTTTTTTCCATGGAATAAATCTTAGAAGCTTAAAAAGAGAAGAGATGGGAATGTTATTGGGGATTAAAATTTGGTATTCTCGTTACTCGTACTAGTTGTTTGGCAATAAATTTAAAATTTCTTCTAGCCATGAACCTATTTGAGCTGAGCGGAGTCACTCATTTCTTAAATTCGTATGATTTAATAAACGAGTTTGAAATCCGATTAATTTGACATTTTTTTCAATTTGAACAGGTTTGAATGAACTAAAATCAAGAAGAGTTCGGATTAATCAAATCATTTAATAGCTTTATTCTAGGACAACCTTTTGATGCATAAATAACTTATTTTCTTCAAGATATATTGTTTCTTAAATTTGGAGTAGGGACAGATAAATCTCCGTAGTCATGTACCGTGCTTGGACGCCCCCCTGGTGCATACTATTGTTATTTTGTTTGGGTAAATTTACCATCGCTTTTGTTTAAAATTGCCCCATGAACTTTATATTATCCTAATTTATCCTAATTGCCTCCATGACATCTTTCATAAAATATTTATAAGTACACCTCATTGAGACAGGCAATTGAATTATTTATGTTTTCGTCCCTTTCATTGATATAATTAAGAAAGACCCTATAATGGTCTTCTCAACCTAGTCAATAGATTAGGTTCTGATAGAAAGAATAATATTTAAGTTATATCCATTTAGATATGATCCTAATCCGGACTATTTGATCCTTCCAGGTCTATTTTTAGCAAATTAATCTGTATTCAAATCTTATTTATTAAGCTAAAGAATTAAAAAATTCAAATTATTAGATGTCTCGATGAAAGACCTTTTACTGCAGTGTTAAAAATTGAGTCAACCGAGACTGAAAATTCAATCGATTCAAGTTTTTCTACCCAACTTGTGCTATGGTGAATCCAGTAAGTTAAAAAAAACTTGGTAAAAGAAAAAAAAACTCGGATTGAAGTCGAAGGCCTTTGATTTCAGTCGGGAGTCCAAGGGAGCCACCGTAGAGGCCTAGCCCTAAGGCCGGCTTCATCTTTGGGTGCTTATTCTAATGCTTATATGTTAGTTTAATTAGATTCTAATATTATAGATGAAATTATAACACTTGATATCGTTTCCTATTACAATGCAATTTAAATAAATCTCAAACCGGAAAGAAGAATAGAATTGTAACACCCAACGCCGTTAAAATATTAATGTGGTTTTGATAAATTTGAAAATTGTTAATTTGAATTTATCATTTATTAAAATTACTTGATTTTAAGTAGGAGTGTTAATCGAACTGAATTTTTAGGACTTGAGCCCAAGCTTGTCGAACTCGTTTTTTTAAACGAAATTAAAAAATTATTGAAACTCGATTTGTTTAGAAAATGAATCGAGCCTGAACTCGAATGACTCAACTATTTTACGGTATCATATTTTCTTTGGATAAGACTAATGTATCGAGACACATTTTTCAATATGGTAATAGAAATTATTACAAAATAAGAGTGAGATTATAATTTGTGAGTTTTACTATCATATAATTTGTGAGTTTTACTATGCATTTTTTTATTTTTTTTGGTAAAATTCCATTTGATTCACAAAAGCAGCCTCTAACAAATCCCACATGAAATATTCATTGACGCAGATAGCCGTGTTTTCTACGTTTAAGTAATCCTATCGAAAACTAGTGGCCCAACTCAGCTTGAACAAACCACTAACAACTCCTGCCTACTTTCATCACTTTGACTTGAGAGCTTAAGCAGCTTTGAGATACAAGAAACCCATCCTTCCCAGATTTGCTCAACTTCAAAACAATGCCTATCATAGAAATTGTCCTGAGTGCTGTAACAACCGTTTTGTTTGAGAGATTGGCCTCTCTTGATCTGTTGAAATTTGCTCGCAGCCAGGGAATTCTTACCCAGGTGACGAAATTGCGCAACGTTCTGAGGACTATTCAAGCGGTGCTCAACGATGCAGAGACTAAGCAAATAAGGGACGAAGCTGTGAATCAGTGGCTGGCGGAACTGAGGGATCTGGCTTACGATGTGGATGATCTAGTGGACGAGATTGCGACAGAAGCTTTCGCCCATGAATTGAAGTTGGAGTCTGAAGCAGCTACCACAAGCAGGGTTCGGACCTTCCTCCCTACTTGTTGTAGTAATTTCCCAAGATCTGTTGGGCTCAAACTCAAGTTGGGCCCCAAGATTGAGGAGATCACTGCAAGATTACAAGATATTGCAAAACTAAAAGATGATCTAGGTTTGAGAATCAATCCCGAAGCAAGGTCAAACACAGGAACAGAGAGAATGACTGCTTCTTTGGTGGATGAGCCCCATGTTTATGGTCGGGAAAAGGATAAACAAGAAATACTTTGATCACAAATTGCAAAAAATTGAAGCCTCTATCAGAGTGGGGCCTCCACAGACTCTCTTCTCTGCGATACTTTGTAATGAGTGAAGTGTATCCAGAGCTACATTCCTTGCCGGATGAGTGTTGGCTTCCTTCTACTCTAACATCACTTGTAATCGGAGGCATGCCTAACCTCACTTCTCTCTCTAAGGGTATCCACAACCTCACCTCTCTTGATATCCTGCTTATCCAAGATTGCCCTAATCTTCGTTCCTTGCCTGACAAAAGGACACTCGACACACTCTCAAGGCTAATGATCACAGAGTGTCCACTTCTTGAACAACGGTGTTTGAAGGATAAAGGAGCAGATTGGCACAAGATCGCTGACATCCCTTGTGTTATTATACATAGTTCTATTTAAGGTGGGCTTCTTCAGAGGATAAGGATCACTTCTGCAGAGTCCATCTTCACTTGCTTAGTCAGGTTCCATTCATCACACATGTCTCTTCTTTTAATTTGTTTGATCCTATTCTCTAGTGTTTTAGGGATTAAGTGTATAACGTGAAGAAGAAAAAAATTACAGCTAGCACACCAAAACTATGGCCCAAAATTTCCTTTTAGGCTCCGTTTGGTTAGGAAGAAGAAATCGGAGGAAAGTGAAAATTATATAAAGTGAAGTGAAAAAAAAAATGATATAAAATATATTTTTATGTATGTATTTGGTTAGAATGAAAAATTTACAAGAAAATTTAAAAAAAATTATTTTATTATTTGAAAGAAGGTGAAGTTATAAAATTTTTTTTGTAATTCTCTAAATTATCCTTAATTATATTAAATTGGTCTAAAAAGAAAAAAATATGTAATTATAATTGAACGTTAATTTTTTTTAAAAAAGTAGCTCGAAACCTAATTCTAAGACAATCACCAAAACAAAGGTTTTTGAGTCAAATCATATGATTAATCAAATTCATACCAAATTTTTTTTAAATTAATAACTAATAAAATATTTTAAGAAAAATAAGGGTAAAATGAGAAGTTAGCTATAAATCACAACTTTCTTACATTTCCTTGTATTTTTTACAAAAAAAAAAAAAAAATTAGTTATTTGTGAGAAAATTCAAGAAGAAAGAAAATTATATTTTCTATCATTTTCTTTTTCATGCTTACCAAACTCATTAAAATTTTAAAAAATTTCTTTTTCTTATACTTTCTACCATTCTCCTGCTAAACAAACAAACCACAAACCCTTACGGTCTCTACTATCAATTTTTCCATTTTATCGGGTCAGCTATACTGATTGGATGAACAGTGACTGGAGTTCTGCTAAATTATTTTTTTCACATTGTCCCAAAATCCATTGGCATGTGGACATTATTAGTCAAAAATACACCTAATGTTCATTTTGACATGCATTCCCCTGCCACTCAGTATGTAGCTCGATTTTCTTATTTGTGTTGGTGATTGCAGATTGTCATGGGGGACTCTTTTAATGAGCACTTCAACAATGAGGTTGGTCATATCTTTTACATATAGGATTTAATTTCTTGACAATTAGTATGTTACCTATATTTGGTTTACCAATTTATCAGCATCACTGAATAAAAAAAAACAAATAAAAAATAAAAATATCATAGCATCACAGTTTATGCACCTCTATGCTCAACAGTAAATAGTAAAGTTGGTTGGACGGTTATAATATTCATTTCAATAAGAGGGAATTTCACTCTTCTCTGGGATAAAGTTCCCCCCTTCTTTCATTTGGATTTTGCAATTATGTATTAACTTGGGGTGTGAATGGTTGTTCACAGAATTCTTTACATATCTTTATTTTGTATTTTTATTTATGGTTAGATAGTGTCGCTCTTCTAAGCTCATAAACAAAGTAGAGAATGAGGTTCAACAAAAAATGTAAGAGAAGTTGTAGCACTCTTGAATGTTGTTTTTCCCGGAAAGTAAAATCTCTTGGATGTTAATTAAATTGAGAGTGAAACTGAATATGCTTTGTGGCATCATCATATTCACATTTGAGATTTGAGGCCATACAATATTCTCTCAAAGTACTTGCATACTCGATATCTGGAACATGCCTGGCGAAGGATTTTTGTGGGAGCATTTCCCCAAGCATAAAAAAAGGAACTCAGTTTTGTTTTGGGATATGACAATGTATTGATATTCATCATTTACTAAGTCATTAGACTCTATGTGCATCGCTTTTTTAAGTCAAATACTTGAAACACCGTTAATGCCTCAATGTTCCTCGTGCTGTTTGAGGGGCTAGTACTTGGTGCAATAACAACAACTTTGGTGAAAGTGGAGTAGCGTGTCTAGCACTAGACTCTTTCCCAAAAGACCACTTTATAAAAAATAGAAAATTATGTTCTTATTGTAATTTTTCATTATTTTCTGTAAATAAATTATCGGTATTCTTGTGCTGTGTACACAAAAATAGCTATATTGCATCTCAAATGTTCAAAGTCTTCTGGGATTTCTTTTTGGTTGTTGATAAGAATTCTGTAGCTTGATTTTTTGTTGGTGTATTTCAATTTTTTATATTAGTTTAGGTTTGATGATTCAGGTATGAGAAGTATCATGTCTGTGATAGAGTTGAGGAGGAGGAGAGAAAGGCCAACTACACTACCAAGGTAAGAAGACTTCTTCTAACATTTTCTATTGAAATCTGACTTAATTCTGTATATTTACTCAACTAAGTGCACTGTTCAGTTTTAAAATTTTCTTGCAATTTTTCGGATAGACACAATTCGCAAGATTTTTTTTTTCTGATTTGTTAATTGTGTCACAATCTAGAGGATTACATTTGTACTTGCAACTGCAGAGGAGAGTCTCTTCGAGAGAGCATCAAGCGTCATGAGCATTTCCTTGCTTTACAACTAGGCCTAAAACTGGGACAAAAGGTCGTAATCCCTCTTTTGATTGTAATTTAAACATTGTCAATGAAATGACCCAGTTTTATGTTGTGAGTTGTTTAATCCTTTTGCTGACATTGCAGGTGTCTGATGCAGGATGTGGAATTGGTGGACCATTAAAGGAAATTGCTCAATTCAATTAAATGATGATTCATAATTTCACTATGAATTGGATCTTCATTTCTGGGTTAGTTATTGTTTACCATATGACCTTATAGAAGATATTCTTGTTATTTTGGTTGGTAGATGTAATCGAAGATGTGCAGCAATCTTATTTGCATGGCCATGTCCTGCTTGGATTTCTTTTGTTCTAATGTTAAATGGGAGTAGTACTTTGCAAATTATGATGGCATACAAAATTCTTTTCCTTCTTGTTTAAAGTTCCTATCATAGGATGATAATGTAACGCAACTGAATGTTATTTATTACAAACAACTAATGCCGGCAGTGGATCTTGTGGACTGTTTTTGCTTCATGACTACAACGGTCATGGATTTCTGAAGTAATCTTTTGACTGTTTTTATCTGTGGTGTGATCATTGTACTGTCATTAGCGCCTTTGGCAGTGAAGACACTAGGTGGCGTCCTGCGCAATAGACGTAGCCCAAGAGAGTGGAAAGACGTACTCGATAGTGAAATCTGGGATTTACCGGAGGATAAGAGCAGCATTCTTCCAACTCTGAGATTAAGTTATCATCACTTACCTTCTCAATTAAAGCAAATGTTTGCATACTGCGCCATATTTCCAAAGGACTACGAGTTTGACAAGGACGAATTAGTATTGTTATGGATGGCTGAAGGATTTCTGCAACAATCACAAGGAGTGAGGAAACTCATTGAAGAGTTAGGCGACGACTGTTTCAATGAGTTGTTATCAAGGTCATTCTTCCAACCTTCAAGTAGCACGAAATCAAAATTCACGATGCATGACCTTTTGAATGATCTAGCTCAACATGTTGCTGGAGAAATATGCTTTATGATGGAAGATAATACGGAGTGCATTGAACGGTGTAGGATTTCTCCGAAGGCTCGCCACTCGGCATTCATGCACCATGAGTATGAAATGTATAAAAAGAACCATAGCCCCCAATAATACGACAACCAAACGATCCCCCAAGAAAACCAAGGATAATGCAGTCCACGGTCACATATTCACGAACCTAACTTGATCCTGACCAGCATCAGTGAATATTAATACCTATCCCCATGAGCCATGCCAAAAATAACCCATAGAGGGAAGCAAATCCATCACCTCAAATGTTTGATCTTGCCTTCAAGAAATCGAACACTAGAGCATTTCTTAGGGTGGTAAGGATCTCATTTTCAAATTTCTGAGAAGTCTTTCAGTTCATTCCTTCCGGTAGAAACAATTCGTTCTCTTTCTCTGTAATCTCATCTATGGCGACAATTTTCACACTTACATTGATCGATGTTGAGGCATTACATATTTTTGGACCCTGAAACTAAAGTAGCGAAAAATGAGGTTGACTCGTAATCATTTCTGGAAACAGGAGGCTGAATTGAAAGAGAAATGGATAAAGCAACATGCTACATATGGCTAGTTTACCTTTACCATACAGGTGGAGGTAGCAAGTCTAATAGGAGCCAAAATCCAACAGAGTTGCCCGAAAACCAAGTCATGTTGGATGGCAGGGAAATGTGAGCCTCGATGGGCTTTCTACTTTCATGGTCAAAAGTATTGGAATGATGATCAGTCGATCCCGACTGATAAAATAAAGCAAGCCAGATTGGTGTCAGCTTCCATTGAACACACGTCTTATCCATTCATCCAAGCTGCAGCAGTACCTAATAAAGATCAATTTGACTTTAGTAGAGATGGAAAATGCACAACATTGCTCCACATATACTACTATCATGTAGTAAATTGGCATGCAAATTTTCACAAGAAAGTAAAATTTGATAGGGGTAATAGCCAAGAAGACATGATTAATCCATTGAGTCCATAAGTATTTTGAGATGCTATTAAGGTAAAGACTGCCATGTGAAATATCAATTCCTCATTACTTCTTGACAACCGTGGTCCAATGCTTCAGTGTCCAGTTGGTATACAGAATCCTTTTTTCGACAAAAAACAAGAACATCTTTTGATAAAATTTTTGCTCATCTTAACATGAGATGAGATTCAAACTTTTTCCCCCAATACCATTCCTCAATCTATCGCTTTTTGTGTGAAAACATAGTTTCAAGTTACACTTTTCAATGTACAAGCGTGTTCTCATTCTATGCATACTCTACAGGGTAGTTCTTATCTAATCGTACCCAGTGCATACTTCCAAATAACAGCATAAATAGACAGATCCAAAGGTGTGCTAGGGTATATCATGATTTATCCTTTTGACTTAATCTAAGCAGCCACAAATCATATGGCATGATTTGATGTCTGTCGATTTGATAATAAACAAGATGTTAATTGCAATTAAATGGTGAGCAAACTACCAATAAAAGACTTTGTTGACAACTACAACAACAAATGTATAACATAATTGATGATTCACTCCCTGGAAAATCATTAATAGTATCTTCTTATCAAGCAAGTAAGAATGTCTCGTGTTATTTTTCACTCATTTCCATTCAAGTCTCCCACCATTTTTCTTGATCAGTGATTAGGTATATCTCAGGAGTGTTTAATTTATATGGTTGAGATGTTGCTTCGATTTGAATCAACTTTGTCCAACCACGCTAAGATGTTAGCTCTATACGAGTCGAATTACGTTTTTCCAACTTTCATTCCACATCGACCGTGTTTCAAGATATATTTCCATATGTAAGATCTATTTATTTATCCAAAATAACATCACCGGGTCTGATTGCGTGAGCCGGTAACCCAAGTGGGGGCATTAAAGGTATTGGATAAGTGATCGCAAGAAAAAAAAATACCACAGAAAACCAAGCATCAACCACAGTATTATAAATTGAAAAAAAAATATTAAAAAAAATGCAATTACCTTTTCATAACATGAACACACATAATTAGTAGCGAGCATGTAAATTTACAAATACATGAATATCCTTGTAATAATTTATCCTTTTGGTTAATCCACGCTATCAAAATAAAAATGCTTTTAGTATGATATGATTTATGTACTAATAATTAACGGAATACCAAAACAACTATATAAACGATGGGAAAAATTGTTCATGCTGTTTCTCCACTCATTTCGATTTAGCCTTGAATAACTTTTCTTGATTCTAATGATTAGACAAAGGTTTGCAATGTTGCCTCATCTACAGCTCCGGCAATTTCTAAGAAAAAAATAGTAATTCCCTATTACTGTAAGTAACATTATTGCTTGTCAGAGTCACAAGACCACTTGATTATTATCATGTGCCAAGTAAGCGGTCAGTGGCATCCCTGAAGTGCTCAAACAAGAACCCTTCTTGCAAGATGAATGCTAACCTAAAATGGGTCCCTAGGGAAACCCTGCTGTTCTTGGTGTTGGGAAGAAGGATCAGTGGCCTTGACTAAGGTTGTCAGAGACCCTGAAAGACACTTGGAAACATGTTTAGCAAATTTTGCACATATATACATTTAGCTTCATTTAAATAACACCACCAATTAAGTGCACTTATTTCCCCTCGAAGACAAAATCATTATTTCAATTTTTTGATTAGACTAAAATTGAGTTAGACGGTCGAATTTTGTTGCACCGTGTCTTGGAACACGAATTATTACTAATATTTTTCAAAGGAAAATGGGAATGGAATTCAACGTTAAGAAACATCACTATAGTAATGAAACAACTTTGTATTTGAGCTTTAATATGTCAAAAATTATCAACCTTGTGTGCAATTTAGTGTATAATCAAATCGTGAATTAAATTTATTTTTTTAGCAAAAAAATTGTCTCTCGTTTGAGTTGTTTGACAATAAATTTAAAATTTCTTATAGCCATGAATCTATTTGAGTTGTGTGGGGTCACTTATTTCTTAAATTCGTACGGTTTGAACGAACTAAAATCAAGAAGAGTTCGGACTAATCACATCATTTAATCTTTATTCTCGGACACCCTTTTGATGCATAAATAACTTATTTTCTTCAATATATTGTTTCTTAAATTTTGATGTAAGGACTAGACCACCCTCTTGGTGCATACATATTGGTTTTTTGGGTAAATCTGCATAGAATTTGTTTAAAATTGTCCCATGAACTTTATATTATCCTAATTTATCCCTCGAACTATGAAATTTATTTCAATTGCCTCTTTCGTTAAAATTAACCATTACATTAGACAAACTAACTGTTAATCTTAATGGAAATTATCTCATTTATCGATTAATCTTAATGAAAGGGGTAGATTCACGTAAATTACATAGTTCAAGGGATAAATTAAGATAATTGAAAGTTCAGGGGCAATTTAAAACAAAAGTCATAGTTTATGGGATATTTATGAGATTTACCCTCTTTTTTTTTAGTGGGGTTATGCTTACTGCTTAATCTGCTTTCTCATCTCATTTAATTATTTTGTTTCAAACTACTGATTTCACCTCATATCTATCCATTCCATTTGTTATTAAATTCACCTGCGTATGCAATATGTGTAAGTTACATGGTTCTTTTTAGTTTAAAATAAAAAAATCACTAGTGATAAATATGCAATATGTAACTTACACAAAGATGAAAATAATTTTTTTTTTCTTTTTACAAGTCCACCCTAGTCGTATCTAAGGGCTGTGGACCCTTCATTAATGGTGGTGGACCCCTTATAGGATCACCACTTCCTCTTGTCCGCCACCCAGTTTGACCAGTTGGTCTCTACTCAAAAATGCAAAGTCATTGCCACTTCTTTTCCTTTTTCTTTTGGCATGTTGAATTTCTGGTCATTCGTGTTATTGAAAGCTCTAACATTTTTTTAAGACTAAGTTATAATTTTTTGAGCGCGTCTGAGTTACAACTCAAAAAATTATAATTAATCATAAGTTTTTTTATCGATCATGAATTTTTTTTTAAAATGTCTAGTTAAACCATTTAAAAAAGAAGCTATAATTGATTGAAAGTATTAATGATCGATTCCAATGTTCACGAATTGTAACTTTATAATACCACTCCAAATATGTAAGAATTGGTGACGAGACATCTAAGAGTTAAAGTTCAAGTAAAATGGTACTCCAAGAAACCAAGAACTAGTTATAAGAATTTATGACCAATAATCTTAATCTAATTCTACACTATACTTCTAGAACTTGGTGATGATGTTAATTGAGACACATCTCCCTATTAATATAAATAAAGGCTATTATAAATAAAGACCTTCTGGAACCAAATAATTCATTCAATCCTAATTTGTTGACTCCGTACTATTCTTCGACTTGTAATTTGACTTAAGCATCGGAGTCCTTTTAATCGTCTCTGGTCATCAGTTCACTTACGTGTTCTCTTGTCTTGTAAGTTATGTAAGACTTCTTCACCGTTCGAATGAGGTAGAGACTCACGGTGCGAAATTATTCTCACACAAAAGTAAAATTAAAATTTTTTAAAAATTTAAGTTACAATTCAAAAAGTCAAAATTAGTTATAAAATGATATGGAGTTTCTTGAAAATATATTTTTTAAAGGTTTAGTTTATACCATTTAAAGGTAAAATTATAACTGATTAAAGTTATGTACAATCAATTTTAACATTTCATGATCGATGTCACATAATTATAATTTTACTTTTAAAAAGTATAACTTCACTCTCCATCATAGTAATTTCTAGCTTGATATCGAAAAGATTTTTGGGTACGATATTCTTTTTCTTTATTTTAAGTGGCCGTTTGTTTTGAGTATTAGAGTGGTATAATAGGAAAATAATACGTGGGACCCATCTTATACATTGTTTATTTGGTATTTTATAGTCAGTACTATTTTTCGGGTCGTAATATCGACCCGCTATGAACAATAGCCATAATGCGTTATAAAAGGTCTAAATGAATTCCACATAGGGGGTGGTATTATATTCTTGGTATAAGTATTACAAACTAAAAAGACCGAAATGCTCTCCGATACAATTCCCATATAAAAGCCTAGCCGCAATTTTTGACTTTTTAAAGGTTAAAATTGTCTTTTACATTGATTAGCAGCAATTGTTGACTTTTTTAAGTAGGTATTACACAAATAATATTTGTGATAAACAAACAAGGAGAATGAGGAGATTATAGTTTAACACCGGGTATAATATACTATTGAATTGGAGTGGAATGCATATAAAATCTTATACCACTTAAATCTTATACTTGAAACAAACTAGGCCCGAAGGACTTGACTATGGTATTGAAAAAAAAAATTACTATTGTACCTCCAAATTTAATTACTTGAATAGGAGTTTTATAATTTTTGTGGGTTATTTTATAACAAAAACAAATTATCACTTTTTTGTGAGTGATTTACCATTTTTGTTGGTATTTTTACCATTGTTATAGTAATTATTTTTCTTTGATAAAAATATTATCACTTTTCTGGGTGTTTTATCACTATTTTGATAATTATTTTTATAACTTTTATTTGGTATCTAATAATAAAAACACACACAACAGTAATAAAAATATGCACAAAAACGACAAATATTAATATGGTACCATTTTTTTTTTTGGATCAACTCCTAAGTCAAATAAGACTATGCTCACACACCCAAACGCAAACACATAAATAACAAACGACAAAGATGGACAGTTGTCTCTCACTAAAGTTTTACTGTAAGATGGAACAAGTGACAAGAAAATCGACAAATTTTTTTGAAAAACGAGGGACAATCTCTATCACCTATTGAAAAAGTGAGCAAGATGTTGAATTAAAGAGGCCAAAGAAAAGGAAGTGCTCATGCTTTTAAGGCTTGTATTAAAGATGCTTTTTTCATATACTTTTCTAAAGTAGAATGAAAATGTATTAAGTTGTTGAGAGGACGCAAGTATAACAAAGTGTTCATATGCGTCTCATGTGACCACATTTGGGATGCTTTGGTCTTTCACTTACTTGCATGTGACTATCTCCATTAATCAATTTAAACTGTAATTTTTGATTATACCAAAATGATACAAATTAAAAATTTAAGAGATTAAATTGATACAATTAAAAGATCGTGGACCAAATTAACACAAAGTACATAATTTGTGAAACAAAAATATATGTTGCCCAAATTCCTAATACTATTCCCTCGACTAACTGAATTGATTTGATATGACATTGTCTCAAAATAGAACATCTGCTATGTTTTGCATGGGAGGGAAACGTTCATGTTTCCTTAATTTTTGAAGCAAAATAAAATAGAATCACATAGTTTGAGGGAGAGTGAAATAACTTTCCATTTAATTTGTAAAGGATATTTGAAATACCAATTCTATTCCTAAAAAATAAGGAAATGAAAAAGTCAAACAAAAAAATTACGTCTGTTCAGCCCAACAATAATAGACCGCACACCTCCACCTCCACCTCCACCTCCACCTCCACCTCCACCCAACACCAACAAGAATTAAAAGGGGATATTTATGGAAATTAAAACTTGAAAGAGTGAATGACAAACTACTCAAAGTTGAAGAGAATATTTTGTAATTAACCCTCTAATCAAATCAACGTGAATTTTTAGCAAAAAATTTAGAAAATTAAATCTTAGAATTTGATTATCAATCCTTTAATGTCAAGAATAACCCCTAAATCGGTACAATTAGGTATATTATCAAATGCTCTCTCTCTTTTTTTTTTTCCATGGAATAAATTTTAGAAGCTTAAAAAGAGAAGAGATGGGGATGTTATTGGGGATTAAAATTTGGTATTCTCGTTACTCGTACTAGTTGTTTGGCAATAAATTTAAAATTTCTTCTAGCCATGAACCTATTTGAGCTGAGCGGAGTCACTCATTTCTTAAATTCGTATGATTTAATAAACGAGTTTGAAATCCGATTAATTTGACATTTTTTTCAATTTGAACAAGTTTGAATGAACTAAAATCAAGAAGAGTTCGGATTAATCAAATCATTTAATAGCTTTATTCTAGGACAACCTTTTGATGCATAAATAACTTATTTTCTTCAAGATATATTGTTTCTTAAATTTGGAGTAGGGACAGATAAATCTCCGTAGTCATGTACCGTGCTTGGACGCCCCCTTGGTACATACTATTGTTATTTTTTTTGGGTAAATTTACCATCGCTTTTGTTTAAAATTGCCCCATGAACTTTATATTATCCTAATTTATCCCATGCACTATGTAATTTATTTCAATTGCCTATTTTGTTAAGATTAATCATTAAATTAAACAGACTGACGGTTAAACTTAACAAATTATATTTCATTTAACCGTTAACAAACAGACTGGCCATTTGGTCTCTACACAAAAAAAAAAAAAAAATACCATTTGATACACAAAACAGCCTCCTACAAATCCTACATGAAATATTCAATTGATGCAGACAATTGCGTTTTCTATTCTATGTATATGTCCCTCTCAAACATATGAAAAACCAGTGACCCAACTAAGTCCTTGCACAAACCACTTAACAACTCCTTCCTTCTTTCATCACTTTGACTTGAGGCCTTAACCACCTTTGAGGTACAAGAAACCCATCCTTCCCAGATTTGCTCAACTTGATACCAATGCCTATCATTGAAGTTCTTCTGAAACCAATAGGGTCTCAGAAGGATCACATGTACGAAAATTTTATCCTGCATACGTAAAGACTCTCTCCATAATCCAAACCCATGACACCCAAATAATAAAAGTTGCGGTTGTTCTTTTTTAACTCTTTTTTTGAACAGTCATTTTGAGTAATATATATACATTCTAATGTTTACGAGTGTTGTAATATGAAATCAATACCACAATTGGAAGTGTAATGCGAAAAAACGAAATAGTCTAGGGGATAATGTAAGATAAAAGATATAGTTAAAGGGGTCAATATATAATTTTTTTTTCAAGAATTTATTTGACATCCGGCCCATTCACTCCTTTTTTGCTACTCTTTTCTTTTGTCCATTCCACATACAAACAACCTCCATGGCATCTTCCATAAAATATTTTTAAGTACACCTCATTGATGAAGATAATTGAACTATTTATGTTTTTGACCCTTTCAAAAATATAATTAAGAAAGACACTACAATGGTTTTTTTCAACTAGGTCAATGTAGGGTGATCAATAGATTAGGTTCTGATTGAGCGAAGAATATCCTAATTAGATCCATTTAGATATGATCCTCATCTGAACTATTTTAATCCTTTCAAGCTTATAGTTAGCAAATTAATCCTTCCCTTAGCTATTGACTTTTATATATTAGCCCTCAATTATTTATATTGATTTTACACCAACCAAACTTTGGTCATTGTTTGTATGGAAAATTTCCATGTATGGAGCAATATATATACATTCTAATGTTTATGAGTGTGGTAATGTGTAATCAATCAACGCTCACAATTGGAGGTGGAATATGAGAAACATAATTGTTGAGGGAATAATGTAAGATAAAAGATATAGTTAAAGGGATCAAAATATAATTGTTTTTTCAAGAATTTAGATCTGGTCCATTCACTCCTTTCTTGCTACTCTTTTCTTTTGTCCATTCCACTTACAAACAACCTCCATGACATCTTTCATAAAATATTTATAAGTACACCTCATTGAGACAGGCAATTGAATTATTTATGTTTTCGTCCCTTTCATTGATATAATTAAGAAAGACCCTATAATGGTCTTCTCAACCTAGTCAATAGATTAGGTTCTGATAGAAGGAATAATATTTAAGTTATATCCATTTAGATATGATCCTAATCCGGACTATTTGATCCTTCCAGGTCTATTTTTAGCAAATTAATCTGTATTCAAATCTTATTTATTAAGCTAAAGAATTAAAAAATTCAAATTATTAGATGTCTCGATGAAAGACCTTTTACTGCAGTGTTAAAAATTGAGTCAACCGAGACTGAAAATTCAATCGATTCACGTTTTTCTACCCAACTTGTGCTCTGGTGAATCCAGTAAGTTAAAAAAAACTTGGTAAAAGAAAAAAAAACTCGGATTGAAGTCGAAGGCCTTTGATTTCAGTCGGGAGTCCAAGGGAGCCACCGTAGAGGCCTAGCCCTAAGGCCGGCTTCATCTTTGGGTGCTTATTCTAATGCTTATATGTTAGTTTAATTAGATTCTAATATTATAGATGAAATTATAACACTTGATATCGTTTCCTATTACAATGCAATTTAAATAAATCTCAAACCGGAAAGAAGAATAGAATTGTAACACCCAACGCCGTTAAAATATTAATGTGGTTTTGATAAATTTGAAAATTGTTAATTTGAATTTATCATTTATTAAAATTACTTGATTTTAAGTAGGAGTGTTAATCGAACTGAATTTTTAGGACTTGAGCCCAAGCTTGTCGAACTCGTTTTTTTAAACGAAATTAAAAAATTATTGAAACTCGATTTGTTTAGAAAATGAATCGAGCCTGAACTCGAATGACTCAACTATTTTACGGTATCATATTTTCTTTGGATAAGACTAATGTATCGAGACACATTTTTCAATATGGTAATAGAAATTATTACAAAATAAGAGTGAGATTATAATTTGTGAGTTTTACTATCATATAATTTGTGAGTTTTACTATGCATTTTTTTATTTTTTTTGGTAAAATTCCATTTGATTCACAAAAGCAGCCTCTAACAAATCCCACATGAAATATTCATTGACGCAGATAGCCGTGTTTTCTACGTTTAAGTAATCCTATCGAAAACTAGTGGCCCAACTCAGCTTGAACAAACCACTAACAACTCCTGCCTACTTTCATCACTTTGACTTGAGAGCTTAAGCAGCTTTGAGATACAAGAAACCCATCCTTCCCAGATTTGCTCAACTTCAAAACAATGCCTATCATAGAAATTGTCCTGAGTGCTGTAACAACCGTTTTGTTTGAGAGATTGGCCTCTCTTGATCTGTTGAAATTTGCTCGCAGCCAGGGAATTCTTACCCAGGTGACGAAATTGCGCAACGTTCTGAGGACTATTCAAGCGGTGCTCAACGATGCAGAGACTAAGCAAATAAGGGACGAAGCTGTGAATCAGTGGCTGGCGGAACTGAGGGATCTGGCTTACGATGTGGATGATCTAGTGGACGAGATTGCGACAGAAGCTTTCGCCCATGAATTGAAGTTGGAGTCTGAAGCAGCTACCACAAGCAGGGTTCGGACCTTCCTCCCTACTTGTTGTAGTAATTTCCCAAGATCTGTTGGGCTCAAACTCAAGTTGGGCCCCAAGATTGAGGAGATCACTGCAAGATTACAAGATATTGCAAAACTAAAAGATGATCTAGGTTTGAGAATCAATCCCGAAGCAAGGTCAAACACAGGAACAGAGAGAATGACTGCTTCTTTGGTGGATGAGCCCCATGTTTATGGTCGGGAAAAGGATAAACAAGAAATACTTGGATTGTTGCTCAACAATGAATCAAGTAATGATGAACCATCCGTCATTCCAATAGTTGGTATGGGCGGTCTTGGCAAGACCACTCTTGCTCAACTTGTCTACAATGAAGAGAAAGTCGAGGATTTTTTTGATCTGAAAGTATGGGTGTGTGTTTCTGAAGAGTTTGATGTGCTCATGATTACAAACAAAATTTTTGGATCAGCGACCAAAGGAAGTTGTGACTTCAAGGACTTGGATACGGCGCAAGTAAGTCTTAAGGAGAAACTTTCTGGGAAAAAATTTCTCCTTGTTCTAGACGATGTTTGGAATCTGGACTACGTAAAATGGGATCTCCTGCGTGCTCCTTTTCGAGTTGGAGCACCTGGAAGTAAAATTATTGTTACAACTCGAGATGCACGCATTGCATTAACCATGGGTTCCGTCCCAGCTTACAATCCAAAGGTGTTGGGCGATGATGACTGTTTATCTTTATTAGCTCAACATGCGTTGTGTACAAGCAATTTTGGTGCCCATCCAAATTTGGAAGAAATTGGCCTGGCTATAATGAAAAAGTGTGGAGGCTTGCCGTTAGCAGCCAAGACCCTGGGTGGCATCTTGCGCAGTAAACGTAGCTCAAATGAGTGGAAAGATGTACTTGACAGTGAAATCTGGGATTTACCTGAGGATCAGAGCGGCATTCTTCCAGCTCTGAGATTAAGCTATCATCACCTACCTTCTCAATTGAAGCCGATGTTTGGATACTGCGCCATATTTCCGAAGGACTACTGGTTTGACAAGGACGAGTTAGTCTTGTTATGGATGGCAGAAGGATTTCTGCAACAACCGCAAAGAATGAGGAAACGTATGGAAGAGTTAGGTGATGATTGCTTCAATGAGTTGTTATCAAGGTCATTCTTCCAACTTTCAAGTAATACGGAATCAAAATTCACGATGCATGACCTTTTGAATGATTTAGCTCAACATGTTACGGGAGAAATATGCTTTAGGCTGGAAGATAATATGGACAACAATGAACGGTGTAGGATTTCTCCGAAGGCTCGCCACTCGGCATTCATGCGCCATGAGTGTGAAATGTATAAAAGATTCAAGGCATTTGACGAACTTCTGAGAGTGCGAACATTCTTAGCACTGCCAGTTTACAGGTTACACTCGTGCTGCTTTTTAAGTGATAGCATTTTAGTCAACATCCTGCCAAAACTGTTGTGCTTAAGAGTCTTATCTATGAGTGGGTATAATATAAGAGAGTTACCCAACTCGATTGGAGATTTGAAACATCTTCGGTACTTGAATTTATCAGGGACATCAATTAAATGGTTGCCTGAATCAGTGAATGGTCTCTACAATTTGCAGACATTGTTGTTGCGTGGTTGTTGGGAGCTTTGTAAGCTGCCCGCAGACATTGGAAATTTAGTTAACCTCTGTCATCTTGACAATGCTAATACTCAAAAATTACAAGAGATGCCCCCCGAGATTAGTAAGCTGAAAAGTTTGCAAACTTTGCCAAAGTTTGTTGTGTGTAAAAGTGGTGGATTGGGACTTAACCATTTGAACAACCTAGCACTTTTACGGGGGATGCTTTCCATTGTAGGATTGCAAAACGTTAAGGATGTGCGGGATGCAGAGGATGCCAATATAAATCGTAAGCGGGATCTTGATGAGTTAGAATTGCTATGGAGTAGTGAGGATGAAGATTCTCAAAATGAAGTGCTCCAAGCCAACGTACTCAACATGCTACGGCCGCATAAAGGATTGAAACATCTCAAAATTGAGTTTTACAGGGGCTTAACATTCCCCAGTTGGATTGGGGATCTGTCGTTCTCAAAAACAATGCAGATTAGTCTAAAAGGATGTACAAAATGTGCGTCTTTGCCACCACTGGGTCAGCTACCTCTGTTGAAAGAACTACACATTCAAGGCATGCATGCAGTAAAGAACGTGGGAGCCGAGTTCTACGGGGATGGTGGCTCATTAGAGACTCGATTCCCGTCACTCGAGACTCTAAGCTTTGAGGATATGCCGGAATGGGAAGGATGGTGTAGTTGTATTGGTGTTGAATTTGTAGGACATTTCCCTTGCCTTCGTCAGCTTACCATGGCCAAGTGTCCTAAACTGGTAAGTGTCTCAGTCCTAAGGCTTCCTTCTCTTTGCAAATTAAAGATAGAACGTTGTAGAGAGGTGGTTCTAAAAAGTCTCATTGAATTAACCTCTCTAAGACAACTGTTTATTAAGGATATTTCGGGACTGACCCATTTGCAAGAAGAATTCACTCATTTCTTGGTGTCACTTGAAAATTTTGAAGTGTGTGACTGTGCTGCACTAGTGACTCTATGGCAGAAGGGGAATACACCACAACACCTTTCCCATTTGCAACACTTAAGTGTCGAGGGATGTTCCGAACTTGTGTGCTTGACTGAAGAAGATCAAATGCTACCTTGTAATCTTGAATCATTGCGAGTATCTGGCTGTGATTGTCTGGAGAGGTTGCCAAATGGTCTGGAAAGCCATACTTCTCTCAAAGTATTGCAATTCGAAAAGTGCCCAAAGCTCGTGTCCTTTCCAGAGGCCAATCTCCCGCCCATGCTTAGAAGTCTTTGGTTAGAAAATTGCAGTTCACTAGAGTTCCTGCCTAATTGCAACTCTTGTCTTGAGGGGTTGTGCCTCAACGAGTGCTCGTCTCTGAGATGCTTGCCAATGGATACATTTTCCTCCACCCTGAAGTCATTTGAGATTAATAATTGTAGGGAATTAGAGTCAATTTTAGAGCCAATCAGACTGAACATGGAGGAGCCAGGATGTTTTAGGATCAGTGATTGCCCAAATTTGAAGACGTTATTTGTATCTATGCCGCCTTTTCATTGTCAATTGTCTTATAAGAAGGGGCAGCCGTTCCCAACTGGAAGTAGTTTGCTTACTCCCAACCTCACATTCCTTTATATCAGAGGTATTGTGAATGACATTTCTTTTGCAAGCAAGTTTCAAAGCCTCACATCCCTTACAGCCTTGGACATGTTTGATTGTGATAATCTTGAGTCCTTTCCTCAAGAGAATTTGCCCCCCAACCTTACACATATTTGGATCACAAATTGCAAAAAATTGAAGCCTCTATCAGAGTGGGGCCTCCACAGACTCTCTTCTCTTCGAAGGTTTGAAATGATTGAAGTGTATCCAGAGCTACATTCCTTGCCGGATGAGTGTTGGCTTCCTTCTACTCTAACATCACTTTTAATCGGAGGCATGCCTAACCTCACTTCTCTCTCTAAGGGTATCCACAACCTCACCTCTCTTGATACCCTGTATATCGAAGATTGCCCTAATCTTCGTTCCTTGCCTGACGAAAGGACACTCGCCACACTCTCCTCTCTTGATTCCCTGTATATCGGCAATTGCCCTAATCTTCGTTCCTTGCCTGACAAAAGGACACTCGACACACTCTCAAGGCTAATCATCACAGAGTGTCCACTTCTTGAACAACGGTGTTTGAAGGATAAAGGAGCAGATTGGCACAAGATCGCTGACATCCCTTGTGTTATTATACAGAGTTCTATTTAAGGTGGGCTTCTTCAGAGGATAAGGATCACTTCTGCAGAGTCCATCTTCACTTGCTTAGTCAGGTTCCATTCATCACACATGTCTCTTCTTTTAATTTGTTTGATCCTATTCTCTAGTGTTTTAGGGATTAAGTGTATAACGTGAAGAAGAAAAAAATTACAGCTAGCACACCAAAACTATGGCCCAAAATTTCCTTTTAGGCTCCGTTTGGTTAGGAAGAAGAAATCGGAGGAAAGTGAAAATTATATAAAGTGAAGTGAAAAAAAAAAATGATATAAAATATATTTTTATGTATGTATTTGGTTAGAATGAAAAATTTACAAGAAAATTTTAAAAAAAATTATTTTATTATTTGAAAGAAAGTGAAGTTATAAATTTTTTTTTGTAATTCTCTAAATTATCCTTAATTATATTAAATTGGTTTAAAAAGAAAAAAATATGTAATTATAATTGAACGTTAAATTTTTTTAAAAAAGTAGCTCGAAACCTAATTCTAAGACAATCACCAAGACAAAGGTTTTTGAGTCAAATCATATGATTAATCAAATTCATACCAAATTTTTTTTAAATTAATAACTAATAAAATATTTTAAGAAAAATAAGGGTAAAATGAGAAGTTAGCTATAAATCACAACTTTCTTACATTTCCTTGTATTTTTTACAAAAAAAAAAAAAATTAGTTATTTGTGAGAAAATTCAAGAAGAAAGAAAATTATATTTTCTGTCATTTTCCTTTTCATGCTTACCAAACTCATTAAAATTTTAAAAAATTTCTTTTTCTTATACTTTCTACCATTCTCCTGCTAAACAAACAAACCATAATCCCTTAAGGTCTCTACTATCAATTTTTCCATTTTATCGGGTCAGCTATACTGATTGGATGAACAGTGACTGGAGTTCTGCTAAATTATTTTTTTCACATTGTCCCAAAATCCATTGGCATGTGGACATTATTAGTCAAAAATACACCTAATGTTCATTTTGACATGCATTCCCCTGCCACTCAGTATGTAGCTCGATTTTCTTATTTGTGTTGGTGATTGCAGATTGTCATGGGGGACTATTTTAATGAGCACTTCAACAATGAGGTTGGTCATATCTTTTACATATAGGATTTAATTTCTTGACAATTAGTATGTTACCTATATTTGGTTTACCAATTTATCAGCATCACTGAATAAAAAAAAACAAATAAAAATATCATAGCATCACAGTTTATGCACCTCTATGCTCAACAGTAAATAGTAAAGTTGGTTGGACGGTTATAATATTCATTTCAATAAGAGGGAATTTCACTCTTCTCTGGGATAAAGTTCCCCCCTTCTTTCATTTGGATTTTGCAATTATGTATTAACTAGGGGTGTGAATGGCTGTTCGCAGAATTCTTTACATATCTTTATTTTGTATTTTTATTTATGGTTAGATAGTGTCGCTCTTCTAAGCTCATAAACAAAGTAGAGAATGAGGTTCAACAAAAAATGTAAGAGAAGTTGTAGCACTCTTGAATGTTGTTTTTCCCGGAAAGTAAAATCTCTTGGATGTTAATTAAATTGAGAGTGAAACTGAATATGCTTTGTGGCATCATCATATTCACATTTGAGATTTGAGGCCATACAATATTCTCTCAAAGTACTTGCATACTCGATATCTGGAACATGCCTGGCGAAGGATTTTTGTGGGAGCATTTCCCCAAGCATAAAAAAAGGAACTCAGTTTTGTTTTGGGATATGACAATGTATTGATATTCATCATTTACTAAGTCATTAGACTCTATGTGCATCGCTTTTTTAAGTCAAATACTTGAAACACCGTTAATGACTTAATGTTCCTCGTGCTGTTTGAGGGGCTAGTACTTGGTGCAATAACAACAACTTTGGTGAAAGTGGAGTAGAGTGTCTAGCACTAGACTCTTTCCCAAAAGGCCACTTTATAAAAAATAGAAAATTATGTTCTTATTGTAATTTTTCATTATTTTCTGTAAATAAATTATCGGTATTCTTGTGCTGTGTACACAAAAATAGCTATATTGCATCTCAAATGTTCAAAGTCTTCTGGGATTTCTTTTTGGTTGTTGATAAGAATTCTGTAGCTTGATTTTTTGTTGGTGTATTTCAATTTTTTATATTAGTTTAGGTTTGATGATTCAGGTATGAGAAGTATCATGTCTGTGATAGAGTTGAGGAGGAGGAGAGAAAGGCCAACTACACTACCAAGGTAAGAAGACTTCTTCTAACATTTTCTATTGAAATCTGACTTAATTCTGTATATTTACTCAACTAAGTGCACTGTTCAGTTTTAAAATTTTCTTGCAATTTTTCGGATAGACACAATTCGCAAGATTTTTTTTTTTCTGATTTGTTAATTGTGTCACAATCTAGAGGATTACATTTGTACTTGCAACTGCAGAGGAGAGTCTCTTCGAGAGAGCATCAAGCGTCATGAGCATTTCCTTGCTTTACAACTAGGCCTAAAACTGGGACAAAAGGTCGTAATCCCTCTTTTGATTGTAATTTAAACATTGTCAATGAAATGACCCAGTTTTATGTTGTGAGTTGTTTAATCCTTTTGCTGACATTGTAGGTGTCTGATGCAGGATGTGGAATTGGTTGACCATTAAAGGAAATTGCTCAATTCAATTAAATGATGATTCATAATTTCACTATGAATTGGATCTTCATTTCTGGGTTAGTTATTGTTTACCATATGACCTTATAGAAGATATTCTTGTTATTTTGGTAGGTAGATGTAATCGAAGATGTGCAGCAATCTTATTTGCATGGCCATGTCCTGCTTGGATTTCTTTTGTTCTAATGTTAAATGGGAGTAGTACTTTGCAAATTATGATGGCATACAAAATTCTTTTCCTTCTTGTTTAAAGTTCCTATCATAGGATGATAATGTAACGCAACTGAATGTTATTTATTACAAACAACTAATGCCGGCAGTGGATCTTGTGGACTGTTTTTGCTTCATGACTACAACGGTCATGGATTTCTGAAGTCATCTTTTGACTGTTTTTATCTGTGGTGTGATCATTGTACTGTCATTAGCGCCTTTAGCTTTTCTTGTATTTTCAAGTCTATTTGAAAATGTTCTAAGAAGTTCCACTAGTTCATTTGTTCTATTATTACCAAGAGTTGTCTCTGAGACTGATTTGTAAATTGGTAACTTGCAGCTCTACATCAGTTAGACTTACAGGCCTTAACAACAATGAATATCAGATAGCACAGGGAAAGGTACATTCTTACGTCTTATTTTGGGATCTGAAGATGAGATGTCTGTGACAGCGCTTGTTGTATGAAGATGAGATATGTAGCTGCAAGAAAGGGCAAGTTCATAGACTGCTTTTTCCTATGGATACTAATACTTAAGCTTAACTATGTTGCGATCTTAAGACAAAAAAGTTTAAATACTCGAAGTCATTAATTTGGAACTTAAGATGAGTATGTTATGCCTCACCATTGTGTAGAAAGGCAGTAGTTCCACAAATGTTTGACCTAACTTGAACTTATAAACAGAGGAAATTGGCAACTTAGCAATGATGAGGTGGACAAATTCATTAACAATGTTCTTACTCAATCCTGACAACCCTTAGGCCCATTTCAGCTGATGCTCTTCTATAGCACAGAAAGTGGTCTTGTGCATTCTTTTCTTGCTGTAAAATTGGAATCTAATTATAGGTTTATGGGGCTTCCAGGTTGATAAATACTATGATCTAGTTACCAGCTTCCATTAATATGGCTGGGAGAATCATTCCATTTTGCGCAAGGTCGTTATTGTTGTCTTCAAATCTTGCATTCATCTTCTACATCAATTTTAGATTCAAGTTATTTGTGTCAAGTAATATGTGTTATGTGTTCGAGCTATTTTAGTTGTGGAACACATACATTGTTATGTGTTCCACGACAGCTTCTAATAAGTTACTAATCACGAGGATTATATTTGTAGTCTGCAGATGAAAAGCAGAGTCTCTTCGAGAGAGTATTAAAAACATGTGCACTTCCTTGCTTTACAACTAAGCCCGAAATCATGACTGAAGGTGTTAATTCTTCAATTGATTGTAGTTTAACAATGTCAATTTAGTGACGCAACTTTTGATTGGGTTTGCCATTTCATATTGTTGTTCAATCCTTATGCTATCATTGTAGGTGTTGAATGTTAGATGTGTAATTGGTGGACCACTAAGGGAAGTTGCTTGATGCAGGTAAAAGTGATGTTTTAATGCTTTTGTGGCATCATTAGTGCCTTTATCTTTTCTTTTGGTTTCAAGTCTATTTGGAAAGGTTCAGAGAAGTTCCTTTAGTTTCATTTACTCGTTTATGTCCAAGAGTTGGCTCTGAGGATGATTTTAATATTGATGACTAGTAGCTCTACTTCAGTTGCAGCTCCCACTGAACTTCTTTTTTTGTTGTGATTCGATTATTGTTCAGTGATAATGTAGCATGATTTCATGAAAATGTCATTTCCTGAAAATAGTTTTGATGCCGTATATGCAATCGAGGCTACCTACCATGCTCTAGACACGGTATGTTACTTTTAGATTCTCACTCTTGACTTAAAAATTTTCCTTACTTATTTTTTGTTAGGGATAATATAACTCCAAGGTGTTTATTATTTCTTATTTCACTTTACATTCATTGGCTTACCATACATTTTTGTTGGAAGGTTGGTTGCTACGAAGAAATATATCGGTTATCGAAGTCTGGTAAGTGTTTTGCAGCGTACTTTTACACCAATAACCAAAAACACCAAAAAAAATAAAGGTAGTGCAGGAAAATCCTCATTTTCCTTTCTGATTAGTTTTTACTCTTGAATTGTTCTCAACTCTTCTTTGCATCACAATTTCATGGAAAGAGGCAGAAATCAAGATTGGTGATGGCCTCCCTGATGATCCAGTTGACAAGGCAGTGCCTTGAAGCTCTGAAGCTGGCAGGTTTTGAAGTGAGTTGCAAATTAATTATTTTCTACTTGATCTCCCTTTCACATTCAAGTAGACTGTCAATATGACTAAAATGAGGATGATTTGTTTTTGTCTATGAAGGTTACATGGGAGAATGATCTGGCAGGGGATCACACAGTTACCCGGATCATAAATGCCCCAATCATCCCACGAATCAAGGTCGCACGTCTCAAATGGGGTGGGTTGACGATCCAAATTCTCGAACCCAAAGCTGCAGGAGGGCTTTTCGCTGGCGGACAGTAAGAAGTATCTCCACTCAACTTTCTTGTCTGTCATTTTGAGCCTCTTAACCAGAACAAAAGCCTTAAAGAAATTGAATTGGACAGGAGCTCTTTACTGTTTTGCAAAATGCACTATACCTTATCAATAATTCAACATAGTTTTGGGAGTAAAATGAAATAATTTTTTGTCTAATTTATAATGGACATTAATAATTGGGGCAGAATGAAACTAATCACATAGTGGAAGGTACAATGTGAAAAAAAAATCATAGTTGAAGAAGTCAAAATGTAATTTGACCAAATGAAAAATTTAGTAGTTAAAGCTGCAAAGTGAAATTGAGTCTATGGTTAATGGGGTCAAAGTGTAATTTTCCCTTCTTTTGAACTACTTTCTAACCTTTCTGATGGTTTCTCTAGATTTGGGACTAACATCATCCTTTATATTGGGTTTACAGGAAAGAGATCTTTAAGCCCATGTATTTCTTCTCGGTTCTGAAGCTTCAACGGGATGGGCATGCAGTAACATAGTATAAATAGGCATGCTGTATTAGTTTTTTTGCAAGTTGCTTGTCCAAGT